ATAAAAAAAATAATAATGTGAATCCCGTTACCAGGTGCTGAGATCCTTAGATGAATGCTCCACAAATGAGGACAAATTGAAAATGCTATTGCAGCGGCACGTGGAGAGCGAGAAAACAGTGAGCCGGCTCACCACCGAGATGCGTGCACTACAGCGGCACATGGAGTGCCAACAACGGGAGAAGGAGCAGGTGCAGCGGGAGCTGAACAAGAGCGTTCTCATGAGGGACAAGCTGCAAGAGGTGTGCCGGGAACAGCAGCGCATACTAAAGTCTGTGAAAAACGAGAGTATGCAGCAAATCAAGGTCGAGGAGGAGCGACGCAAGGAGAGTCAAACGAAATTTCAGAGTTCATTAAACGAGGTGCAAAAGTCTCTGTCCAAAAACAACGAGGAGAACGTTAAATTACGTGATTACAACATCGAAATGACCAAAAAGTAAGTGGCGCTGCCGCCCATCAGCAGAGAAACACCGGTGTTCGATGTCTATTTATAGGCACGACACTGCATGCGGTTTTCTTGTGGATGTATGTATCTGGCTGCCACATACATACATACATACATACAATATAGGCATCAATCGACCATATGTTCGCGATACATATATTTGTATATATAAATGTATTTTGGTATGTGTTTTTAGGTTGAAACTTCTAGCTGAACAATATCAGGCGCGCGAGAAGCACTTGGAAAAACTGAACGAACAGGTTCAGCTTGAGTCTCAGCTGCATCAAGCGAAGCTCACCAAGGCTCAGGTTGAAGCTGCTATGGAAAAAGAGATACTAACCAAGTGAGTATTAATTAATTAGTTGCTCGCTTCACTCTTATCATATATTTTTAAAATAGAGAGAATCAGATTGGTCTGGAGAAGTTGTTGCAGGCACAGCGCTCGATCAAGGATCTAACGGAACGGGAGCAACAGCTCAAAGAGCAGCTTAATATATATACGGCGAAATACGATGAGTTTCAGCAATCGCTTAAGAAATCCAATGAAGTCTTTGGCAGTTACAAGATCGAGCTGGAGAAAATGTCCAAGCACACCAAGAAAATTGAGAAGGAAGCTCTGGGCTGGCGGCAAAAATATGAGAAAGCGAACGGCATGGTCATTGAATTGGCCACTGAAAAACAACAACGAGACCAGCAGGCGGAACGCCTACAAAAGCAGGTGGATCAGCTGCAGAAGCTACTGCGCGCACTGCAACTAGAGCGTACAACACTTCACCAGACTCTTCGTGAGAAAAATATTCCAATTCCTGCTATGCCACAGCTACCGCCCGAGCCAGAGCCCATTAAAGTTGTGCCGATCAACACGGACAGTGCCAAAATGGAGCTGATGACGCGCAACTGTGCTGAACTGAAGCAAACGCTGGCCAACTTGCAGAATCAAATGAAGCTGCTCACCACAAATGATGCGAAAATTGCCGCTGCCGAAGCAGAAAGGAAACAAGCAGCCGAAGAGCAACAGAGGGCAAACAATATCAAGAAGAACAATAAGAAAAAGGCAAAGTCAAAGGCTAAAGCTGCAGCAGCGGCTGCTGCAGCGGCGGCTGCGATCGACGGGGAAGCTGACACTCCCAGGCCTGAACCGTCAACAGATGGAGATGCACAAGCACAAGCTGAGGCTGATCCTGAGCCTGAGGCTGAGCCCGAGCTAGAGCCAGAACCAGAAGCCGAGGCCGAGGCCGAGGGCGACGCTGATGCCGAGTGTGAAATTGCAGAATTCGACAATGTGGAGCAGCCCCAATCTTCTGAAGCTTCTGAAGGGAACTGCAATGCAAACGATGCTGATGCAGAAATAGTGCCAGAGTCTCGGCAAGGTGACTTAGCGTCTTTTGACCAGTCGGAAGTGCCTGAACTGATTGATTCCAAGTAGGATCGGGGGCCTGACATTAAAGCGCCTCCCTCGACTGTCAATGTGCTTGTGCTTGAAATTATTGCATCCTTCTTGTATATGTGCATTTTGATTTATTCATTTTTAAAAATATTTATGTACTTTAACTCAACAAATGTAAAGCCATCAGCGGAATAGAAAGAAGGAAAGAAAACAGCTCAAATCGAGAATTTATTATTTATTCTATTTTATACTTATTTATTAATGAGCCCATTTAGAGCTATTCTAAGCACAAAATAAAATATAAAGTTTTCAATAAATGAATTTATACATCTAAAGTAAAAAGAAAAAAATTAATTAATTAGCAATAAACCATATATACACATATGTAAAAAATTTCCGATATAACCAGAAGAAAAATATTTACAATTTTTATTTATTTTTAAATCGGATATAGTTCAGCCTTGTCTCGTATTTATGAATATTTTAGATAAACCAAACAAAATTATTAATTTTTTTTGTTAAATATATTTATTTTTGCATAAAACTCTTTGTTTTCTTTACTCTAAATTCATATGTGCTCTAAGCAATATTCGTTCATAGTAACGGATATTTACCATAAATAATAATGATTCGATTATCGAACGTAATATGTAATCTCTTCATGAATGGATATAAATGATATATATAAAGATATATTTTTTACAATTTTGCTCAATTTCGTAAAATATATGACACTCCGATGTTAAGATTTTACATCTGTGGATATTTCTATAACTAAAAACCGAAATATAAATAAAATACGATTTTTATAATATGAATACATATATATTTATATCACATATTGTAATACCCATAATATACTATATACATATATCCTACAATAAACATAAAACATTGAAGTAGTTTGCATTGAGTATAGAACCATATTCTTTATATTCAATTTCTGGTAATATGAGAACTTAGAAGTATTTCTGTGCTGGAATCGTTAGTTGAAAAATTCAAAAATAGAACAGAATAAGAAATCGGCTAAGCTCTATTATACCCTGCTCACAGAAATCAAATTTTCTGTTATAATATCTGAACAGCACGAAGTAACAAAGTTAAACTATTATCTTCTTCAGATTCGCAGCACCTCATAAACCATTAGGAAATTATAATTAAATTCTTGGGACTACCTGTATAGAAATCTTCTTAACCTCTTCAAATACGGAGAACCTAGTTTCTGAATTAGTTAAGCAAATGGCTTAACATAACTTAAATTGGCTTTAAAATTGCTGGTATTTTGTTCGACTATGCAAATTCTTGAGCTGCTGCTGCTGCTGCAGCAGTTGCCGTGTCGTCGTGCGTAATTGGGCTGCAAATTGGCAGTTGGGTGCCACAGTGTCTGCCGTGGCATGCAACAAACTGCATTGACTTTGTCCAGTGTTTGCTATGCAAAATTGTTGCTTCATGGTCAATATGAGCACAGCGTAATTGCGGCACACAGCTATCATTTTAGCTAGCCGTGCTACGCTGTGATATGCATATTTGAAGTGCCACGCGTGCCACGTGGCGTATGCGTAATGTCAACATAGTCAATGTCGAGACGCTGGACGGCTTTCGCTAAGCTCGCACAATTTAAATAAAGCCATTTAAGTGCCACACTAAAATAATTACAGAAATTATTTTAAATTGCATGAAGCGGCAGGCGACTACAAGGAATGACCCCAATGGCCCCCACGGGCCGGGTGTAAAATTTCGCCAGCCATATAGGCGACACATGTGCATATTTCACACTTATGCACACTTACACTCACACACACACGCGGCCTCACTCACATTCACACACACACACACAGACGCGCGTGGGCACACAAATGTGTGCACATTTTGCAGGCAATGAGCTTTTGAACATTTAATGAGTTAATTCGCTAAATTTAAAAGGCGCGCAAGCGTGCGCCAAGTGCTCGACCAGACTGTTTCCTGCCACGTTGGCACCCTCGAAATAACCGTTACTCGTTATCCGATTCCCGGTGCTAGCTTCATGGCCGTCATCCCACAAGTTGCCCATTTTAAAGCATGAAACATGAAATTGAGAAAACGAAAACAACAACAAAACACACGCACACACACACTTACACACAGAGAGAAAGGTATACATACATGGACATGTCCGCCCGTCCATTGGTAAAAAGCATGCCACTGCTCGATACTCAACAATGCAAGGACGCGAGGGCGGCATATAAAGGATGCTCATGCTAAGCTCTTGGGTGTAATTTCTCAGGCACTGGCAAAAGACGACGATGGCAGCGAAAGTTAACAGCGAAAGCTAACAGCGTCGTTGACTGAGACGCCAGCAGCGCAACATGAGCCCAACATATGTCCCAAAACCGAGTCGAGACTAAAAACAGAACAGAGATGAGGCTAGATGAGCAAGGAGCAGCCCACACAGTCTTTTATTTTTGTGGTGCTGCCAGACTGTGTGACTCGGCAATCAACGATGGGGGCGGCCTAACAGCAGTGGGACGGATACAATTGAGCATAGTGGGCCAAGTGGAATAATACAACAAAGCTGACTTTCACTTTTTAAAACTGAATGCAAATTATCAGATTTAAATATTACACAAATATTAAATATATCAGTGTGTATCAAAGTTAAATAGTTCTAATATACACAAAAATTAGTAAAGTTTAACTCCTGTTTTAGCTTTGCGTCCCTTTGTTTGCGCGGGATGCCATCGCACCTATACCAAGCCACTTCGTGGGCCTCTTTGCCTCTCTGTGTGTTTCTCACTCTCTCGCCTCGTGTCCTCTCTTAGACGCTTGCTCTCGCCGCAAGAGGCCCACGCCGCCAGCGCTGCGGCGAGAGCATAATATGGTGAAGCTGTCGGTGCTGCCCGCCGTTGCCGTTGCCGTTACCGTTTCAGTCTCAGTCTCAGTCGCAGTCTCAGCTGTCAGGCGTCTGGCAAAGCTGTGCTTAGTCAAATTTCGGTAACGGAACCTGCTCGTCATCGCTAGCGCCGAAGTAAACGTAGACGCCGACGTCGTATTGCCGACACGAACACAAAGCGAAGCGAATCGGAGTTGAAGCGACACGACGCGACGTCGACGTCGCTGCCCAGTTGCCATTCGAGCCTCTGTCGCGCTCGACTTCGCTGCAAGGAATATAATTGTAATCAGTTGTGTATAGGACACACGCATGTGCGCATCGACTGGCCCCTTTCTAACGAAAACGTCAACATTCCGCTAACGGAAACTGTGCTGCTTGGCGGTAAAGCTGCGCGACTGGTGCTCAACTTGTATTTATCTGCTGCTGCTTTAATTGTTGTTGTTGCTGCTGTCAATTGTTGATTGTGGTTCTTGTTGTTGTTGCGCCATTGGACTCTATTTGTCAAATTTGTCAAAAAACCCGCCTTTCATTTTTGGCGTAGCAGCGTAAATGAAAATTTTTTTCAGCTACAGCTGCTGGCGGTGCCACGGCCGCAGCTGCTAGTGCTGCTGCTACTCTGCCAACGTCGCAGCCGCTGCTTTCGGCTGCGCTGCTGCGCTGTCCGAGATAAAGGATATGCCCGGATCTAAAAGATACAGTTTTTTTTTTTCGCCAACTTGTGCAGGCTGCCTGCTTGGCTTTTTGCTGTGTCGCTTCGTTCCTAAGCGAACTTAAGCAGTAACAGCAACAACAACCACAACAACAATCACAGCAACAACATTAACAGCAGCAGCAAAGAGAGAAAATTACAATGTGTGTGCGTGCGGTTTGGATAGCAGAGTAAAAATGAGTGACAAGTTGGCAAAAACCAAAAATGAACAAAAGTGTGCGCAACTATGCAAATAAATTAATAAGCCAAACTCATTACCAAATTAAAATAAGACACGCAAATGCTGAAGGCGGGCAGCCAGAAAAAAATTAAACAAATAAAGGAAGAGTCACCACGAGGACCTTGTTAAGTGCGTTGAGTCGCGTCGAGTCGAGTCGAGTCGAGTGTGGAAAGTCAAGAGGTTCTGGGTTCGGAGTGTCAGAGCTGCTGGCATGCTTTGGGGCTAACTCGTCCAACGTTCTCGTCCTCGCCCTCGTCGCCCCCGTCGTCCTCGCTATCCTCGTCGTCATCACCGCCAAAGGCATCGAAGGTAAATATATACGTAGCACAGCTAGGCCAAACAAACTAACCAACAAAGTAAACAATAGCGTAGCGCTACAAATGCAAATTTATTACCTAGACACATACCAACACCTATGCAATATTTAGAGTTCAGCTATTTAACCGTTGCACAGTGCAACAGAAATGCTCTGCAAAGCTTGAGCAGCATGTACCGAAAGGATTAAAGTGTAATGATAACAACTTCTTCAAGGGGGTATTAACAAACACAATAATAAATTCATAAAATTTGTAATTTAAATTAACAGAATGAATAAATTCAGTTTTTTAATTTAATTGATATATTTGATAATTTAAGTATAATTATTTTTAGTTCTAATTACAATTTCATTTATTATATTGAATATTAAATAAACTTATTAATTTTGTTTAACTCTCTGAATAAAACAATTTTCTTAACTTGTAATATTTTTTTTTTAATCCATCCATTTTTTAGGCAGCAAATTGATTTTTGCATTACTTATAATTTATAGCCACTGTGCAACTTTCATTGTCATAAAAAAGCCATAAAACCAACAAGCATGGAGCAAACAAAGAAATCAAAATGAATTCAATACTCTACCGAAAATTCAACTGAAATAGAAGTAGAAGAAGAAAATTAAGATAACAATAACAAATGGTCTATATGTACCTTAAGTTACCTATGTCTGTCTGTCTGTCTGTCTTTGTCTGTTCGTCAGTCAGTTTGTCTGCCTGCTTGTTGTTTGTTTGTTTGTGCATACATTTTTAATCGCATGCGATTTATTTAACTAGGCGCTTTGGGTACACTCACACACAACACCCAACTCCCAATCAAGCACGGGCACTAAAGGCACGTACACAGTGGGCGTTGGTAGTTTGCATACAAAGGCCAAATGAGAACCGTCAGGTGGAAAATCAAAATTCTGACAATAACATGTTTACATGCAGAGGTTCCTATGTCGCGCTCATGGAATTCATTTGGTTTATTAAAATTTAAGGATGCATATAGAATATACATATGTATGTATATAATATGCAAATATAATAATATATGCATTATATATCTATACATTATATTATAGTATGTATAATATCATTTTAATTCATTTTAAAATATTATATATAATAATATATAATTATATCCTCTGTATAGAGAGGGTTGAGCTTCAAGTCCCAAGTTAATGTAATGTATTCCGATAACCTCAGTTGAAGTCGCTATTTTTCGAACGACAGATTAATAGTGCCTAACTTTATTATACTTCCAATAAATAAAATAAAAATAGCTGCAAAATCTATCAGTTATACAGAAATAACATGTATTGAGAATTTAACATATTATGACATAATATATATGGCAGCAACAAAATCTGAACTTTTAACAACAAATCAGACACGAATCTGACAGCCAACAAACAGCAGACAAAAATACACAAAAAGCAGCTCATGTGATACATCGAAAGTGGATACACATTCAGTCTCAAAGACTCATTGGAGCTACAAAACAGGTAGAGAAACATGCGCACACACACACACATGCAGACTTTACAGAATATATGTAAGAAAAGTTTCGGATGAATTTAAAGCTTATTTGTGTAGATAGAAAGTGCTAAAGATGATAACAAAATATATTGGCAAAAAATGTTGTGAAGCACATTTTAGTTTGGTTTTTTTTTTCCTAATTTTTTTTTCAATTTGTTGTTGAACCTATCGACAGCTTAGAGTTGGCAAAACAACAATGAATACGTCAAATAAATAAATTTAAAATATATTAATTTGCCAAAGAATACCTTTTATTTAATTAAAATACTCCATGCAGCTCAAAGGGAAAAACGCAAAAGGACAAAATTCATAATCCTTTCAAAAGCATTTAGTTTCATTTTAATAATGCAAGCATAAAAATATGAATATTTATGATTGGATTTATGAAAAAAAAAAAATATAACTGTGAAAAACTGTAATAAATAGAAACTATTTTCATGCAAATTAATGTTTATTGTTTTTGTAAAGAATTGTCATAAATCTAAATTGAATGCATGCTGTTTTATCTTCTATTGAAACATACATATGTGCCTTGGCATATACAGAGAAAAAACAGCATCAATTGAATATAATTGAATATATGAACATCTCTTTATATTATGCAAAAATAAAAAAAGTAAATTTTTATAGTTTAAATTTTCTACAAAATATATATACAACAAAATATGCTTGGAAAGTCCTTCAGCTAGATTGCAATTCATTAAATAATGTGTGAGCAAGCCGCTTAGTGTCACACACACAGACACACACACACACATATGTATTTATATTTATGTATTTACATAATGCCTGACGTTGTTTATTCGGCCATATTTTAAGTGTTGCCAACTAAAACCACAACAACAACAACAACAACGTGACCTGGGATGCTGCACAAGAGATGCGGCGGCAGCATAGAAAAACGGAAAACAAAAAAGCACTTGAGGCAAAACTAAGCGGCAATTGTGATTGCGGCTGTTGTTGCATTTATAAATAGCGTCAAGGTGCGCTCTAGTTTTATTCACACATACACACACACACACAGTTGCACACCTTCATACACAAACACACACATAGTCTCAAAAATGCCCACGCCTGAAAATAGAAAATGTTATAAATAAACTCAACTGGATGCAACTGACTGAACGAAACATGATTTTTAATCAAATTATCATTGACAAAGGCTTGTACGAAACTGTATGTGACATTTGGCCCGAAACAGGCTTTTAGCCATTGGCTTGTTATGTTACAATAATACCATGCGAAGGGCAAGTGTTGTGACCTTTTGGGGCCTGGTCAAATATTTGTTACCTAAACGCTTAGACACGCAATGCGGAAAACGGCAATAAGAAGGCGTGAAATGATTCAAACGCTATACCAAATTCTCTAATCACTTGAGGGTGTTTCGCTTCCTTGGACTTGGATATCAAACTACATAGGTTTTAGCACACTCAGCCAAGGGCATATATGAATGTATGTGTACTAAGCCAACAAGAAATTTTTATAAGTAATTGGAAAGGAAAGCAAACAAAAATAAATAGAGGATATCAAGTTGCTATATTTGAAATGTTCAATATTATTTTGATGTTCAATTTACTATCCGAAAACTATGCACAATGGGTGGTAAAATTAATACAGAATCTAATAATTTTGACAACTTGAATATAAGATATGAATATAATCAAATATTTGTATTTTTTATTATGCTTCATTATATTTATACGTATTTAGATACATTTAAAAGAAAATTATAGTTTAGCTCTTACTTCATGTCATATAAATTACTGTTTATTTATTTATTGTTCAGTTTAACAAAAGATTAGCCATATTTCCTGACAAACTTACGCAAGCAAATACAATCAGAAAGCTGGAATCAAACTAAACTTTCTGGCGTGCTGTATCCGATTTTCATATGTTACCTAGATTTATACCGAATAGCTGAGGGAACGAGAAAGAGAGAGAGAGGCAGGTGGAATGCAGCTGTCTTCCGGGTATGATGACGTTCCCTTCAACGTCGTTATAACTGGATTCTTCTCTATAAAGTATTATACATATATTTATGCACATACATTCATTATAATTTTACAACTTAAGAGTGCAGACTGAGTTAGCTTCTCAAACATTTTAGCAAAATTTATTGGAATTCGGTATACAAAAAAATATAAAAAATTAAATCATCGTTTTTAATTCAAAATTGAAAAATTAGACAAAATCTGTAAGAATAAACTACTAGCTAAAGTAGTTTTATTATTTGATATTAATTCAGTGATATTTAGTATTTCATTCATTTCGAAATCACTGCCCTGAATTTAGGCTAAAGATTCAGACTCAGAACGTTTAATTTTGGTTTTCAAAGTTAACTGCACATTCTCTCTGAAAATTCAATAATTATGGTTATCTATTGTTTAGTCCTGGCTTCCATATATGATAAAATTCTAATTGTAATTGTTTTATTCTTCCTCTGTTATAAATTCTTGCTTATAGCATGACTAAGCGTATTAAATAATAGATAATATTATAATATATAATATATATAATATTAAATAATAGATAATAAATTTGTATAGTTAATAGGCATCAGATTTATAATTTACTTTTATTAAGCTTTTCGATAAATTATTTAATAGATAATTATTTAATGGCTTTGATTGCAAGCATATTCACGCACTACGAGGCGGCCCATCAAATATTGTACATAGATCCAGGGCCAACAGCGAGGATATTTATAGGATACATCAAAGTAATTGTACATGCAGGCGCACATGTATGCCTGAATGTGTGTACACATGTGCAACTGTTTACTTTCGCTATACCCTGTAATCATTAAAGAAAGGCGCAGCAACAGTATGCTTAAAGAGAAAATTAAATGTTCCATTTTAACTTTATAGAAAATATGTAGAGAATTGAATAATAAATTCGAATAAATATGAATGCATTACAGGGTATGTGTTAGTTGAGCACTTTGGCCTGGCAGACTCTTACTCTTGTTTTATATGAGTTTCGAACAGTGTTTTACGGCCAGCGGCTGAATGTAAAGTTGTGCAAAGTTTTCGTGTACGCAGCGGCAATACGTATACGCCATGTGTTACGCCCAGCAACGGAAGTTGGCAAGATTTGTCAGCGAATGTGTGGCTGGCATGGCCTTGATATAACGGTTTGCTAACAATTTCTAATTGCCACGTAGGTGGCGCCAAATACACAGTTACATGCGAGCATATGTTGCCAAACATGCAATTAACAAACGGCGCGGCGACCAAAAATTCTTGATAGAGCAAAAACTGAAAATGTGGCAACGTTGCGCTGCCTACACACTAACATCCACGTAAACACACACACAGTCACAGACATACTGGCATACATACTCTCAAACATTGCGAGATGAGTGGCACTTACAAGCATTAATTACTATGCAGGGACTGGCCAAGTAGATGCCAAGAGACCGCCAGTCGAGTCGTCCACACTCATTGGACGCTTTAATAACGGAAAACAATT